TTTAATTTTTCCTCCCAGTTACAGTGCCGAAAACTCCCCCCAGTCCCGCCAGTGAGAGGGTTTCCTGGTGATTGGAAACTTCCTCTATTAAGACTCCCTTCCCGGGACGGCTCTCCGTCCGTAGCTCTTTCGACTCCCTTATTGTCGTTTATATTTTGTCCTACCTCCCTTCGAAGACAATGGGCTGCTTTTCTGGGCGCCTGATGTCCTCTGCTAGCGATCAGAAGTTCTTTTGTGAAATTTGCTCAGCATTCAAATGTTCTTTTGATGAATTTGTAGGAGAGAAAGTGGTCTCTCCGTCCTATTCCTCCGCCATCTTGGCTCCTCCCCAGGCAAATTCTTTATCATCTGAGCCACCAGGAAAGCCCAGGGGAAGCCCAATATTTCTCTTAGGTTATCTTAATTATTTGTCTTTTCAGTTATATATGCATCAGGACCAAGAGAACAATAGAAATTTAGAAAATTTTCTGCATAGTTATACTTAAGGATTGCTTCTTTTATTTCCTATCCTTAATAGCAATAAGGCTGAGTCCACTGCTGTGGGTATACCTTGTAACAGAAAACAGGCTAAGGATTATGTGCAACTCCACGCTTGATAGCAGCAGACCTTTCCTTCCCACTCATGAGAGCATATTGGAATGCAGCTGAGAGGATTTCTGGAAATAAGCTTAAATTCTCCCTGAAGAAGAAATTAATAACTTTGAATTATTTTAACAATAAATACTACCCTTGTGTTGCAGATTCACAGCTACAGTGTCTTTGTATCTTATTTTGTATTGTAGTATAGAATTAAGGTCTTAAGTAATGTTCATCACTTGTAACTAAAGTATAAATTAGAAAGATGCCAAGAAATGTTCCAGGTCCTTTGTGTCTTGTGAAGACCCTTGAGTGAGGCATTTGGGCTCAAGTTCCACTGAAGTGTTCAGTCCCTGGGAAAAGGGATTCTGGAAAGATATCCTACCCTCAACCACCATTCTCAAGCCTTCCTTTCCCACCTTGCTGGGCTATGTGCTTTAAGCTCCAGTCCCCAGAAGGGCATCAGTTGAATTCCCAGCCCAAGGGTCTAATTAGGACCAAAGTTAATTTCCTGGGGCTTTTTTTACTAAATCTCCCCAAGTTCAAATAGATAAATTAATAGATTTTGAAAAGAATGGCTATTTAGTTTAAGCTTTTTTGTTTGGTTTTATTTGTTCTGTAGACTTTGAAGGTATGACCTTCCTTGAAACTGAGCAAGGAAAACCATTTGTGTCAGTATTCAGACATTTAAGGTTACAGTATATTATCAGTGATTTGGCCTCCGCAAGAATTATTGAACAAGATTCTCTAGTACCTTCAGGTAAGAACATGATAAAATTGTGATTTTAAGTAAAATCTTTCTGATTATAATAGTAGTATATACCATAGAAAAATAATAATGAAGAAAATAGAAGTTATCCTTAATTCCAGTAAGGATTTTTATACCATGCAGAATTATACCATGTAGATAATTTTCTGTGTTCACATTATATATTGTGAGTATCTTCCCATATCTTTAAATACTCTTCAGAACATTTAAGTGGCTGTATAGTGTTCTATAACATGGTGTTCTTTAATTTGCTTAACCAGTACACTATTTTGGACTAGACTTTGACTTTTGAAGTGTTATTTAGAGGTCAATTTCTTTTTCTATTAATACTGCTTAAGTTTGCTGTTTTCTGTTTTGTATCCTAGTCTTAAACTTTATGTCAAAGCAAATGTAATATCTTTGCTAGTTATGATTTAACACTTGTGAAACAATTACTGTTTTAATTTTCTAAGTTGAGTGTCTAGTGCTTGTGTAGGATTAAATTTAGTACTATATTCACATTTAAGAAATAGAAAGTAGCATTTGAAGATTTACTTGTAAATTTGTATAGATTTGTCTGAAAATTATAATTTTTGACACCTTAGTTTTTAACATAATTGTGTTTATAGATTTAAATTGTTACTGAAATCTGTACATTTATTTATAAAGGTATTCAGTGGAAACCAAACTGAGAGTTAACATTTCTGGTAGTTAAAGTAATGCATTTTTTAATAAAATCACTCTAGGCAGGTTTATAGACAAAGTGCTTTTTTGTTAATTTTGTATTATTCATTTGTATTATATTTGTGTGGGTTGTGGGTCTGAGATTTGTTTGTTTGCTCAGTCTCCATTTCGTTTGAAGATCATGTTCCCCTTTAGTATAGCAGCTTTATAATAGTTTTAGTATATATTATACACCAAACACTAGCCGTGTGTGACATTAGATGCCAGGGCTTGTTACATACTCCCACTCTAATCCTACTTCTTTTAAGGCTCTCTCTAATAAATTTTTAAAGAGTTTAAAAAATAAAGTCTGTTCTAAAGTAGTTTAATTTAGGTGTGTCTATGATGCAAGGGGATAAGCTTTATATTTTTGAAATATAAGATGGGCATAAATATTTCTAGTTTGACTTTGCTTTAATATAAAATTGAAAAGAATTTAGATCCCAAATTTCTGACCAGATTTCATCCATGATTTTTTCTAACTTAAAATTACAATAGAGGGCAGTTTTTTTTCATTTTAAAATATAAATGGACAAATAGTTTTTCCTGTATATCTGAATAAATTATCATTTCAAAAGCAGGGTATAAATAAAATTAAATCCCATGCTGTTTGTGAGAGGGCAAAAAGTGACCACATAGCTCACACCTTCAAGATACATTCGTATATTCTCTCAATAGGAGTGTATCCTAGATTTGAAATAAGTGAAAATAGTTTCAATTATGTAGCTGAAATTCACTGATCATTTTTCAGAAATAGTGCCAAATGTGTTAACATTATTCATAGTTATATGTTCAGTAATCTGGGGAATTCTAATATATACATCTTTTATCATCTTTAGGTCAGAATTAAATTCAAATGGAAATTAAAAGAGAAAAAAATTAAACTTTTAATAGAGATATGTTAATTCCAAATTAAATCCAGACTTTGTGTAGAAACATTGTAGTATTTTAGGATTTAACTGTGTTAAGCACAGTTGAATTCCATTATTTCATAGAATTAGATTTGTTGTATTCAGTCATTCAGTTGTATCTGACTCTCTGTGACAACATGGACTGCCCCAAACCAGAATTCCCTGTCCTTCACCATCTCCTGGAGTTTATTCAAATTCATGTCCATTGAGTTGGTGATGCTATCTAACCATCTCATCCTCTGCCACCCGCTTCTCCTTTTGCCTTCAATCTTTCCCAGCATCAGGATCTCCCAGTGAGTAGACTCCTTGCATCAGGTGGCCAAGGTATTGCAGCTTCAGCTTCAGCATCAGTCCTTCTAATGAGTATTCAGAGTTGATTTCCTTTAGGACTGACTGGTTTGATCTCCTTGCAGTCCAAGGGATTCTCAGTAGTCTTTTCCAGTACCACAGTTCGAAAACATCAGTTATTTGGTGCTCAGCCTTTTTTGTGGTCCACGAAATTTGATTTACCTTAGGTGAGGTCATTAAGTCTGTTTTGTTCTATACTCTCATTGTCATGCTCCCCTCCCCGTTGATACCTCTGACCTATCTTGTTACCATCTCTCCCAGACCTTTCTCTTTACATCCTCTCCTATATTCTCTCCATTTTATTTAGCTCTCTCAGAAGAGAGTATTTTCCCTCTGTGGAGGACTTTCTCTCAACACATCCTGCTAAGAAAGGGTTAGGAGGCCACATAGTCATCGGCCCAGCCACCTGAGTGCCCTTTCTAAATCCCTGTTGCATGTGATCCAGCTCATACTCTCTTCTTTCTCTTCTGATCCCCAATCTTTCTTTCACATTCATTTAAGACCTGGACACTTGATTTCTGGCTGCTTCTCCACCCTTCTTCAGTAATGTAATGTGTCCATATTATCATTACATTTACTAGCCTCCTAGTAATTTGACCTTAGCTCCTGTAACATCTGCTGACCATTAAGCACTTGCTACATTTGACTCTTCCTGTAACCCAAAATGTCTCAGTATCAGAAATCCAGTAGTTTGCAGGCTCTAAATAACCTTCTAGATGGTTGTAGTCTCATCCCTGTTACACTGTTATTTGATTTCCAGTCCATTCTAAACTCCATTTTCTGCCAGTCTTTCAAGCCTCCTACTTTTTTCTTCCTTTCAGACCTGGATTTCATGTTAGATCATCTGAACTGCTCTCTCTCACAGTTGCCTTCAACTTTTTGTCCTACTTTACAAAATTCTAAAACTAAATTAAACCTTCTTTGTTCTTAATACCCTCTACTTTGTGCTGAGTACTGCTCCAGAACATTCTATAACTTTATATTGGTGCCGCTGCAAACTCATATTTCATTGCTAAGCTTGGACCTTGCGACTCCTTATATCACTTTTACTTGGTGACTTTTTAAAATTTGCTTCAGCAGTTGTTTAGCAAACCTCTGCTCCTCTGTTCAAGTTTCCTCTCCAGTCACCTCACTATCAGTGGGTGGTGGTGGTTTAGTCACTAAGTCGTGTCCGACTCTTGGGATCCTGTAGGCTATAACCTGCCGGGCTCCTCTGTCCATGGGATTCTCCAGCCTAGAATACTGGAATGGGTTGCCATTTCCTTCCCCAGGGGATCTTGCCCAACTAGGAATTGAACCTGGGTCTCCTGCATTGCAGGCAGATTCTTAACCGAGTTACAAGGGGAAGCCCATGGAAACTCTGTTGTTTTTTATATAAATTCAAGGTAATCAGGCAAAGATTTATTCAGATTTCTAGTCTTACTTACCTCTCCTTCCTGTCCTGTCCCAGAGGTTGAAGTGCTCCCTTCCTATTCAGGCCAACTTCCTACTGTGTTCATAATCCTATAATTTTATGCTGTCATTTAATAATCTGTATCTTCAGCCCCTCCTGTTCTCCCTCAGCTTATAAATATGGTCAAACCTCTTACTAAAAAAACAAACCAAATCCCCCCACTCCCGTCTGGACCCTGAGTCCCCTTCATGGTAACTATTCCTCTGCCTTAGAATCACCTTCTTCAAAGTAGTCTATAGTTGCTGTCTCCATCTTCTTACCTTTCAGACTTTTCTCAACCCACTACAATCTGTCTTTTGCCCCCACTATTTTACTGAAACTTTCTAGCAAAAGTTAGGACTGTCCTGTTTTTAAAATCTAGTGATCTTATGTTAGTCCTATTTTAACTACCCTAGCATTTTATATCATGGTTTATTATTTTTTCTTTCAATTCTGTACAGTACTTAGTTTAGAAATACTATACTCTTCTGATTCTTTCCCTATCTCTCTGACCATTCATTTTCTTTTGTAAGCTTCTCTTACTCTGCCCACCTCTTAACCTCCTAAGTGTACCCTTGGCCCATTGATCTTTTCATTCTACATAGTGTCCCCAAATGATTTCCTTCATTCCTATGATTTATTGAAAGAATACAGTTCTGACCTCTTCCCTGAGTTTCATACTTAGATATCCAACTGATAGCTTGCCATCTATAAATTGCTTCAGTTCGTCTATTCAAAAGAATACTTAATCTTTCCCCTCCGGTCCTAATCCCTGCATTCTTTTTTCTTCCTATATTTGCTTATCAATCATCAATATTAATAACTTGCCCATTCTCTCAAAAATGGCAGAATCCTGGAAGTCATCCTATTCCTCCTCAGACTCTTTTCTTCCACATCCATTCACCATGTCCTGTATATTTTTTTCTTAGATAATTCTCAAGCCTTTTTTTTTTTTTTTGGTACCTGCTACCACTTCCTTGTTAAGGCATCATTATCTCTTGCTAGATTACTCTAGTACAGAATATATCTGTGGCTCTCTTGGGCCATATGTTTTTCAGCTTTTTCTCTTAGGTACTTGATAGGTAGTAGGCACTCAGTTTGTGTGAACTAAAATTGTGTCCTAAAACATACCAACTTACATATGGCCCAACACTGCATTTACCTATCAAATAAGTTCAGATTCTAATTCCTAATCTAAGAATTATAAAGGGGAGAAGAAAAAGTAAATGTGTAAATTCTTTAGTGTCCCAGTAACATGCCAGATTATGCATTTAATGTCTATTATGTAACATAATCTTTAAAATTATCAAGGTAATTATTCTGTATTATACATGAAGTATTACTATCCTGTCACACAGCTAGTTAGAAGCAGAGCTCAAATGCCAGCCCAAGTCTTTCCTGTTCTAAAGCACCCCCCGCCTTTTTTTTAACTGCATCTGTGTGTGTGTTAGTCGCTTAGCCTAAGTAAGCGTGTGTTGGATTCTTTGTGACCTGTCAGGCTCTTCTGTCCATGGAATTCTGCAGGCAAGAATACTGGAGTGGGTTGCCTTTCCTTCTGCAGAAGATCTTCCTGACCCAGGGATTGAACCCAGGTCTCCTGAGTTGCAGGCAGATTCTTTACCGTCTGAGCTATAGGGAAGTCCCCAACTGCAACTTACTGGTTACTTAAAAGAATTCCACTAGGTTTAATCTCTTTAAAATTGCATATCCAATTGCATAAACTTAAGCAGTAATTTTGAGTCACCATTCTTTCAAGTATGTTTGATTTGGCTCTTGATAACAAAGTGGTGAAATAGATTTATTCCCTTACGGGTATCCTTGTAACTTTTTAATGTCAGGAATTACTGTTGTGGGTATAATGGGGGAACTTTTAATGTTTTTGTAAGTTACGTAGAGATGATAATCATTAAAGTATGAATTTTATGAAAGTAAGTTGCTTAAAATGGAAAGAATCTAATACAGAAATTCATGTAAGTAGTTCTATTGAAAAATACTGTACTCAGTAAGTTAAATTGTCATCTTTTGGAACTAGATTTTAGATTATTATACATGAAGATCTTTGAGCTGAACTACTCCATTTTTATACTAATATACCTAGATGCTCTGTACAAGATATTCTTACTTATCCAGATAGGAATTTTTATTATGTAGGCTTTTTCCTACACCTTCATGATCTAATTCTGACAATGTGCTTCATATAATAGTTCAACCTGTAGGCTGTTTTTTGCTATAAAGCTTTACTAGTTGTGAGTAGATTTTTCTATGTTGTGTATACTTGAATATTAGTTCAGTTCAGTCGCTCAGTTGTGTTTGACTCTTTGCAACCCTGTGGACTGCAGCACGCCAGGCTTCCTTGTCCATCACCAACTCCCAGAGCCTACTCAAACTCATGTCCATTGTGTCGGTGATGCCATGCAACGATCTCATCCTCTGTTGTCCGCTTCTCCTCCCGCCTTCAATCTTTCCCAGCATCAGGGTCTTTTCAGATGAGTCAGTTCTTCGCATCAGGTGGCCCAAGTATTCGAGTTTCAGCTTCAGCATCAGTCCTTCCATATTCATTCAGGACTGATTTCCTTTAGGATGGACTGGTTGGATCTCCTTGCTGTCCACAGGACTCTAAAGAGTCTCAAGACTGTCTTCTCCAACACCATAGTTCAAAAGCATCAATTCTTCTGCGCTCAGCTTTCTTTACAGTCCAACTCTCACATCCATACATGACTATGGAAAAACCATAGCTTTGACTAGATGGACCTTTGTTAGCAAAGTAATGTCTCTGCTTTTTAATATGCTGTCTAAGTTGGTCATAGCTTTTCTTCCAAGGGCCAAGTGTCTTTTAATTTCATGGCTGCAGTCACCATCTACAGTGATTTTGGAGCCCAAAAATGTAAAGTCTGTCAATGTTTCCATTGTTTCCCCATCTATTTCCCATGAAGTGATGGGACCGGATGCCATGATCTTATTTTTCTGAATGTTGAGCTTTAAGCCATCTTTTTCACTCTCCTTCTTCACTTTCATCAAGAGGCTGTTTAGTTCTTCTTTGCTTTCTGCCGTAAGTGTGGTGTCATCTGCATATCTGAGGTTATTGATATTACTCCTGGCAATCTTGATTCCAGCTTGTGCTTCATCCAGCCTGGCATTTCACATGATGTATTCTGCATATAAGTTAAATTAAAGGGGACAATATACAGCCTTGACATACTCCTTTTCCTATTTGGAACCAGTCTATTGTTCCATGTTCAGTGCTAACTGTTGCTTCTTGACCTGCATACAGATTTTTCAGGAAATACCTGAATATACACTTTTTCATTTAAGCAAGCTAGGGGGTGTATCTTATCTTTCTGTTTGTTTTTTAAAGTTTTGTAAATCTAAGACATTTAGATTTTCAAACAGTTTGCTCTTGGAGACCCCCTTCCCCATATCCTTTGTATAAGACAAGAGAAATTATCTAAATAAATTCATTCTGACCTTTTTCTATTAGAAAAGTACTGTGTTTACATTTAAGACTGTTATCATTACATCTGCAACTGCTGATTTATAGTGCCATCCAGTGCCACCTTGATGTGCCAGTTTTGAGTTTGTTTTGGATTTTGGTCCAATAAAGTTTAAAATAAGTGGTTGAACTTGTTTTCACTAAGTGGAAGTTTCTTGAAGGCACTTTTTCAGAATCTTTCCACAACACTAACTGCCGAAAAGGATTCTGGCAAACTCTACCTTTTGGAGATATGTCTGCATATAATCATATTAAAAGCTCTACATAAAGGCAGTTGTTTCACTTTTCATCCCATGTTTTTCAGTCTTGTTTTTTTCAGGGATTTCTCCTTATCCATCATCTGTCAGCACTGCATTCAAACCAGTGGTTCTGTTGACTTATTTAAGGCTGAACTATTGGATGAACTACCAGTGACTGAAAAGATTTCTAGTTTGACTTTTTACCTTTAGATTAAGGCAAGAAAGGAGAGACAAAAATATCTACACACATTTTTAACTTGTTAAAAATATTTTTAGGAAACTCTACGGCACAACCAAAAAAAAAAATGTTTTTAGTTTTAAAGGAGATTATTCAAAGTTGTTGAAACTAAGTTTTGAATCATTTTCATGGGATATAGCTTATATGATATTTGTGAATGTGAATGTATAACCTTTTCACTCCATTTTTATAAGGGAATAATGAAAAGCCATATTCTATCTCTAAATTAGTGAATTTCAAACTATAGGCATAACCTGTAGTGAGTTGAGAAATCATTTTAATGGGAAGGGATCAGCTGTTTTTTAAAAAAATAAAATACAGTAAAACAAAACTTAAAAATCCAAATATATTGCAAGTAAGATTGAATATGTTTGTAGATATACTGAGTCACATAAACTTTGCTGTTAGTCTTTACCTACTAAAGCTGAATTGTTTGTCACCTAGATATTTAGCAGTTATTCTTTATAATGGCAACAATATTATTTTAAGGAAAGAAACACTCAAAAGTATATTTATGGAGGATATTGAGGAAGGACACTAATAAATGAGTGCAAATCATCTGGGTACCTTTATTAGGTAGAGAATTATGACATGAACATCCAGATTTTAATTGCACTAGGGTTTTCCCCCTGCCTTTTGGTAGAGATAGACAAATCACTTAAAAATTAGAAAAACTGTCCTTTTAGTTGGGAATAAATAAGAACAAAAAAGTAAATACGGTGCTAAGCCAGTTCTACTTAGGTTTTTAGTAAGTCCATGTTTTTATGTAAAATAATTAAAATCTCAGCTTCCAAAGTCTCATTTTATAGAAAAATTAATATGCTTACTACTGAAGGAAAATATCTATTATATTGCATTTACAGTAATTTTCATTATAATAGTTATCTAAACCTAATGTGTCAGAATTATTTATTGAGTGTGCTTGATTCATCTAATAATTTAGAAATGGTTTACTTCTCATTATTTAGTTGCTTTTAGATAATTCAGTACAGGAACGTTCCATTATTCAATTTTCTATTAAAGCTTTTGTAAACACTGAAAATAATACTTTTGGTTTGTTTCTCACATGAAAATCAGTATGAGCTATGAAGAGAAAACCATTAGATGTAAGAATATACTTTTAACTAAAGATTTAAATATATATGATTAAAGTAGAGTCTGTCCTAAGGCAAAGGAAGATAACGTTTACCATTTTAAAGATCATGAGGCCATATGTTGTAGCATATTTGTAAAATACAGATTACCAGCTTTACTTATTGCCATTTGAAATTTGAATTTTAAGATGGTAAAAATTTTATCAACCTCTTAAAATTTTAAATCCTTTGTTTTTCCATATTTCTTATTATATTATATTTGTTTTTACATTTTAGAATGGCTATCTTCTGTGTATAAACAGCAGTGGCTGGCTATGCTCCGAGCAGAACAAGACAGTGAGGTGGGGTAAGTATACTATATCGTGCGTGTGTGTGTATGTGTTAGACACTCAGTCATGTCCAATTCCTTGTGACACTATGAACTATAGCCTGCCAGGCTCCTCTGTCCATGGAATTCTCCAGGCAAGAATACTGGAGTGGGGTGGCCATTCCCTTCTCCAGGGGATCTTCCTGACCCAGAGATGGAACTCACATTGCAAGCAGATTCTTTACTGTCTGAGCCACCAGGGAAGCCCCCATGGTACATCATAGCATTGTTTATTTTTATTTTTTTTTTTTCCATTTATTTTTATTAGTTGGAGGCTAATTACTTTACATCATTACAGTAGTCTTTGTCATACATTGAAATGAATTAGCCATGGATTTACATGTATTCCCCATCCCGGCCCCCCTCCCACCTCCATCTCCCCCCGATCCCTCAGGGTCTTCCCAGTGCACCAGGCCCGAGCACTTGTCTCATGCACCCAACCTGGGCTGGTGATCTGTTTCACCCTAGATAATATACATGTTTCAATGCTGTTCTCTTGAAACATCCCACCCT